TTATAAATTAATTGTGTTGGGGTGAAGATGATGTGGTTGGGAGTTGGAACATGGGGCAGTATGTGAGGTTTTTGTCTTGGAGTGGAGAAGAAGGACGGAGTAGAAGCGCAAAGTAGAAGCGTGCGCTCATAAGCTTCCTCTGATTCATCAGAATAGAATTCTGCCAGGAGGTTTGTCAGAGGGCATATCTGCTTTGATGAATCACAGGAGGATCATCAGAACAAAGTTGTTCTCTGGTCCACTTTTCTGAGGCAAGGTGGAGAGGGGAGGAGAAAGTTTATGGTCTGTCCTGTGCAGATCCATCAGACTGGGACTTCCTAATGGTGCACTGTAGGAAGTTTGTCAGAGAAAGAAGCTGTCTCCAGAGTAGAGCTGAATTTTTTCTAATAGATCTTGAACTCTAGGCCTCAGGTCTCCTATTTTCCCCTGATAGTTGTTAAGAGGGAGAAGAGGGGGAATACTTGCAGCTGAAAGTGTGTCAGTAGTGGAGTTAACAGCTCTGCTCAAGAGGCAGCTTTTCCCTCTAGCAAACCTAATTGCTTCTGAGTTGTTAGGAAAAAAAATCTCGAAATCTGAAATTCTGCTAAGACATTTCACATTTAAAGTGTTCCTTTATGCTAAAGACAAGTTCAGGGCCTCATCATCCTTGCTTACTGATAAAGTCAAACAAAATTGATAATAGCTCATGCTTTATTTGCACCAACACCATCTTCTAATATATTGAACTTTCACAAGTCAAGAAAGCAAAAACGCTTCAGCTAAGTTATATTCCCTTTTCAAAGTTTGTAGTTCATATTAGTGGACGCTTTTGAAAATGCCATCCAGAGATGCCTAAATGTTTTTGAAAAATTTGGCCTGTTTATTTTAAAATAAAATCACTAACTTAATTTATTGAAAGGCTAAATAACTTTTTATTGTTAATACTGAAAGCAATTTTGTTTTGAAATGATAAAGATTTTATGCCCTAAAGAGAAGCTTTTAATAAAAATATAATGTTAATAAGTGATGCTGCAAACACTTATGTACATGCTTAATTTAAAGCAGATCAGTAGTCCTGTTGAAGTCAATTGGATGTATTCATATGAGTAAAGTTAGTACCTGCTTAAATGTTTGTAGGATCAGGTGTTGGTTTGCAATATTTTGGTTTTTGCCTGTAGAAATTCTGTAAAATTCAAATAAGATACTTAACAGTGACATAAAAACAGCATTTGAAATTTAGTTTTATAATAGTATAAACTTTCAGATCAGTTTTACAAAGCTTCAACTTGATTTAAGTTAGTGATTATTTAAATTGCTTGATTTAAAAAAAAGAAGAGAAGGTGGAGCCATGTAAATCAGATTGTGTTGCCTCTGTAGGTTTTATGTTTGCAAGCATTTTCCCCCTCTCTGCTCCTGACAGTACTACACTAACCCAAAACATAATTTTTATTTAATATTTCCCTTTATTTCCCCCTTTTTCCCTTTTATTTTTGATTATTTTTGTGGGTCTAAATACATTGAAACAAAATAACTTTTCTATTAATAATGGAGTTTAGGGGAATGGAAGATGGGGTGGAAAAGGATGTGAAATAGGTCTGTTCTGTGCTTAAAAATTGGATTGACCAAGCTGTGTCACTCAGGTCTGTGAAAAATTTTGCACCCTGAACACTATAGTAAGCCAACCCTAACTTCCAGTGGCTACGAAGTCAGAGCTCTGCTCCCAACCATGCCTGTTTCCAACCCCTTTTCCCAATTTTTGGTGTTCAGAACTGGCCTGTAGCTGAAATGCTATAAGAATGTATTTGGAGTTTGTAGGGACTTCTTGTTTACCTAAAAGAACCCTATTTCAACCCCCGTTCACCCTCAAAAAATGTTAACACAAGAAAAAAATGGAGTGCTTGAAAATATATTTTAATTTTTTCTAAAACTATATAGCTTATTTGCCCTCTGGGAAATTATTGTATGAAATTTGGAAATTAATTAAATTCAAATGTAAAAGGGATTTATAATGTAGTGTAAAATTGTAAATGCAGGTTTTACCTTCGTAGGGTGTATGTGGGCCCATATTCTGTTGGAATTTACCATTGTTTTTGAATGTTACTGTAAACATTGAATAATCATGATTTGGTTATCTGTTAGGAATATGCATAGTGAAATATAGATAAAAAATCTGCTTGTGTGCATTTTCATTCTTTTTTTAGTGCAGTCATTTCCTTAGGTAGTGTGTGGTATAGGTGCTTAACAAATCTTCTCTCCCTTCCCCCTCAAGGGATAGATATTGTGTAAATCAGTAGAGATTGAGTCTTCACCTGCATGAACATTAAAAAAAAATCTACATTTATAGTACCAAAAAATTACATATTTTTCATTATGGGAAGATAAATTTATCCTAAGATAAATAGATGGGAAAGAGACTGCCCAGGAGTACAGAACACTAATCTCGTAACACTTAATTGGTAGCAGTGGTTAGACCGAAACATATCAGAGCTGATTATGTAAATTTCCCCACAAACCTTTGTTTCATGTCTATATACTTCTGCTCTGACCTCTCATTCTTCTAATAGGCTGCTATATTCAAAATGTGTAACATTTGTGATTTTTTTTTTATATTGATGACTGTTTCATTTTAGGTAATTGTGACCTAAAACTAGATTTTGAATGCTGGATTTAAGAAGTGAATAGTTTTTTGCATTAACACATTAAGCTACGTAACCGGTTTACTGTAAATTAGGGCTTGAAAAATCTACTCACCACTGGTAACTGTGAAGCATTTCCCAGCAAGTGAAGTGGCCTAACTTATTGTTTTTGCAGAATTTGACCCATTTTTTAAAAACTGAATAATTTCAGTGTAGTTTCAGGAATTACATTTGCCCCGGAAATATCTGCCAATATTTTGGATTTAAAATAACTTTTTCCTATTTTAAAATGTTTTTTTCCCCTCCTGTTGCAATGTAAAAGGCCCAAACTGGAAACTCTAATTTACTCCAGGATCCTGCAAACACTTAAGCATGTGTGTAATTTAATTACATGAGATTAGTTCCACTGTAGTCAATGGGATTTCTTAAACAAGTAAACTTACATGTGTAATTGTTTGTAGGTTAGGAGCTTTACCTGGCTAAACAGGAGAACAATGAAGCTGACTTGGAGATAATAGTGGGTAATCAGCAGAACATGAACTCGCAGTGGCTGTGTTCAGAAGACCTAGTGCAATCATTGGATGCATAAACAAGGGAATATTGAGTAGAAATAGAGAGGTTATTTTACCTGTGTACTTTGCATTGGTGTAACTGCTGCTGGAATAATATGTTCAGCACTGATGCCCACAATTCAAGGAGGATATTGAAAAATTGGAGAGGGTTCAGAGAAGAGCCATGACTGAAGGATTAGAAAACCTGCATTACAGTGACAGACGCAAGGCTTAATCTATGTAGTTTAACAAAGAGAAAGTTGAGGGGTGACTTGATTCCAGTCTGCAAATACTTACATGGGGAATAAATATTTAATAATGAGCTCTTCAGTCTAGCAGAGAAAGGTCTGACATGATTAATGGTTAGAAATTAAAGCTAGGCAAATCCAGACTGGAAAGAAGGCTTAATTTTTTTAACATTCAAAGTAATTAATCATGAGAACAATTTACCAAGTGTCATGGTGGATTTTCCATCATTGGCAATTTTAAAATCTATATTGAATGTTTTTCTAAAAGATATGCTCTAGGAATTATTTTGGGGAAATTCTGTTATGCAGGTAGGTCAGACTAGATGATCATAATGGTCCCTTCTGGCCTTGGAGTCTACTTACAAGGTGTTGTCAAAAGCAGAAAATAAACTGAAAAGATAGAGGGCCAGGTATATCAGTGTAAGTCCATTGACTTCAGTGGAGCTATGCAAACTTGTACCAGGTGATGATTTAGCCCAGAGAATTTTGTTTCCTGTAATTCCTTTCACTTTCTTTTTTTTCAAGTATTACTGTTTTTGTGAAGAAAAGTGAGCTTTTTTTTAAATGATGTCCCATTTAGCCCTTTCATATTTTAAAAGTTTCTAGCTCACATGGTTCTGAAAACTGAGCAAATTTAAACTGATGTAATTTTGTCTGCATGAGCTTGCAAAGGTAGCATCCATGCTTCTTTTGCTACTTATAGCTTGCCCAATGACAAGATGCTGGTCAACTTCACCAAAACTATCAGGAATCCTCTGAGCAGTAGTGAAACTGACAAGAATCATGAAGTTGTGACCTCTGGACATCACTTGTGGCCCACTTCTTTTGACTTTTATATCAGTCAGATATCTCATACAATTTTTCAAGCCCTTTTGTAATCAGAATGCCAGTGATGGGTGTGTGTGCATTTAGTTCCATATAATTAGATTTCTTTGACGATTGGAATGTTGTTACAGAAAATATATATGTATTGTAATGGCAGTCTATTAGGTGCTGGAGTCACCTAGCATTCCATTTACCATGCTGTCCAATGTGTGCAGTCCCAACACTGCTGCTGTAATCCTAGCATAACTTCTCTACTCCACCAGTCCGGAACAGTGGGTCTTAGTATTTTCCCAATTTAAGTACAAAACTATTGTTAGCAGTGTAGAAAATTCCATAATCTGAATTTCATGGTCTTTGTGGCACAATAGCTGAAAGCAGCGGGGAGAAATCTGTTACTATATGGTTATTTAGATTTACGAATGTATCTGGTGATACACTTAGACCCATAGTTACTGTTTTCTTAAACACTTTTACCATGGCATTTAAGACAGCAGGTTGCTTTATTTGAACATGTTGCTACTATATAATACTTAATTATGTTGCAAATCCTAGTGTGTTCAAATAATGACTTAATCTCAAACTGGGTGCCTAAAAATATTTTATATTAAGATACTCAAAATATGCTTTGTGAGGATTTTTATGACTGAAATTATATTAAATTGTGATGTTTAAGATGTCATTCAGACTATAAATTTAATAATCACTGACTTATGTTTTCTCGTTAATATTGCTATTTACATTACTTCACTTTATTTAAATAGTTAAAGTCCCTCGTAATTTTCGCTTGTTGGAAGAACTTGAAGAAGGTCAAAAAGGAGTAGGCGATGGTACAGTAAGCTGGGGCCTTGAAGATGATGAAGATATGACACTTACAAGGTGGACAGGCATGATTATTGGACCACCAAGGGTCAGTACAGTAGGTTAAAACTTCTGTTTTTTGTTTGTGGGTGGTACAAAATCCTATATTAAGATTACATTTTAGAGAAGCAATTCACTTAATGTTTAAAATGAAAAATACATAGTTGCAACAATAGTTTAATTTACAACTGTTCTGTCATAATCTGTCTTCAATTTATAACTAATCATAGCCTGATGAAGTAACTTGAGAGTTAAATATGAGAAGCTACATTCTAGTACACTCATATGTGCCAGCAAGCTTATATTCAGTGTTGGGGAATTATCCACATAAAATTCTGATTTCCTTAAAATCTGTAGAAAGGCTAGAAGGAATTGCACAGGAACATTTGGTGTAGGCACATATTTAGGTCTTCAGCAAAGCAATAGCCTGTGTGTATCCACATCTCTTCAGTTATTTTTATGTCTGTTGAGTAACCTGTGTGAAGGGGTTGTGCTTTGTGGCTATTGCTGCCTGGAATAGAGGCATAAGTTAAAGCTGTATATTAATGATGGAAATGCAGCTATGCCCTAAGATAGCAAAATAATTCTATACAGGAACTGTTGTTGGAGTATTCAACCACTTTTTTGCTACATGGGAGGTGATGTTTATCATATGCTCCTTGTAGATTTAGTTCTGCAGTAAAACAAGATAATTAAAAATTGACAGATACCTATAGTATGAGAAATTTACAGAATTTGAGAAAGGATAAGTAGTATTTTTCACTATCACATAATTCACTGCACGGTGTGTGAACATAGCTCATGTATAAAATCCAGCCAAAGTCTATTTCAAAGACCAGACAATTAACAGTGACCTCTGAGACAAACTAGCATTAACAAAAGTTTAAGTTCCAGCTGAACTCTGAATTTCTTTGGAATATATTTAACGAAACACCCTGCAGAAGAACTAGTAATCCTAAATTACTTATTTCTTTTTACACGAGCATTACCAAAAGTGAATGGGCAGATCTTGGAATGGGGTATTTTTTGTGCTAAGGAAATCTGCTGAAAAGCAACTTCGATGATAAGAGTACAAAACATACTTCTACGTAAATAGAGACTTGGGCTGATGCTCAAAGTGGTATTGTGCTACTAGGTTACTTTTACTGCTAGTGTTGAGTGATCATGATAGCAGTGCTATAGTTTATTGTGCAGTAAGTCCCTCCCTGCCGTAAGTCTTATTGGAAGAAGAAAACTGAGGCTCATATTGATAGTTGGGGGGGGGGAGTATAATGATGGCACTGTCCAAGCTCCATCAACAATCCAAACTCAGCCTACTTGGGAAACTGGAATCAGTTGTCACTTGCAGTAGATTGTGCAGAGGTGTCAAATATCATCACACGTGTTCTGCTGGGCTCCTGAGGTTTGGATATACCAAGGTTAAGTTCCCTCTAAGTTGCGCAGCTGCCTATTAAGCCCCTATTAAGACCTGCTGCGGCAGGAAGAGGCACCCCTCGCCGCTAGCCCCAAGCTGCTGCAGCACGAGAGGGGGTTGGGGGGAGTCCTCTCTCCCACTGCAGCCCTGGGGCAGCCTGCACCCCAAACCTCTCATCCTTGGCCCCACCACAGAGCCTGCACCCACCTGCACCTCCATCCTCTGCCCCAGCCCTGAGCCCCCTCTTGCACCCCGAACCTCTCAGCCCCGCCCCCACCACATAGATTTTATGTGCACCTATATGAAGGTGATGTGTCACACATCCCCATATTGGTGCATATAAAATACATTCTGCACATGGATGTAAAAAATTAGAGGGAGTACTGTGGCGAGAGGGATAGCTCAGTGGTTTGAGCATTGGCCTGCTAAACCCAGGGTTGAGAGTTCAGTCCTTGAGGGGGCCATTTAGGGATCTGGGGCAAAAATTGGGGATTGGTCCTTCTTTGAGCAGGGGGTTGGACTAGATGACCTCCTGAGGTCCCTTCCAACCCTGATATTCTATGATTCTAAGGGCAGATAATGTATAGGCACAGTAGTTACATGCCTTGGACACTGATTTCCAGAGTTGTGATGTCAGAATCAAAGTTTTTATTTAAAACCCTCCACGCCCCAATCTCATGGTTCTAGAGAAAAGCATTTAAAATGTAACCTGTTAACTGATACAGTAGTATTTGCCTGGATCTGCAGACAGCCTACAGCTGTGGGAGAAGCAACAGCCACCAGGAGAGTGCTTCCTGGATCCCTGCTCAGTATCAGAGCAGTCTAGACACTCGTTACCCTGAGGAAGTGGGCTGGCCTGGTCATGGCAGGGGCTCAGATGCCCCACTCAGCTCTGCAGGATTGGCTTCCCTTGGTGGGACTCAGTAGTCCCTGCTCTTACATGCTTTGGTCAGTAGTGAAATTGTTTACCATATAGACATTTAAATTATCATCACTGGGAATCTGATTTAACACCCCTAAAAAAACAAATGGTGGTGTTAACACCTTGAGCTAGACTTTTGAGTTGTCGTGTGTGGAATTAGGTAGATGTCACTGTGTGGCTTGTGCTTGGTTTACATTTTGAAGGTTTTCTTCAGTACCATAAGGGCTAGCAATACTTTTTCTTTAAATAAAGTGAGATTCTGGAGGACAAGATGACTGCTTTGTGGGAGAGAGGTACCAAGTCACCAACCTAGTGTTATCTGCTTCAATTTGAGCCATAGGGTAGACAACCAGCAAACTTTTTGATGTTGCTGGTTAGAATGCAGGAGAGACCATGTGGGCTGGGATGCAAGTTCAAATTCTGCTTAGTTTAAAACTATGCTTTTTGTCTATCAGTATATTATTATTTAGTTAGGGCGCATGGGCAAAGAGGTGGACCAAATGAGCTCAGAGGGGTGGAAATGGTAGAACTCTAGTAGAAGTGAGAATTGGGAGGGTGGGGTCAGTCCCCTAAGCTAGGAGTTGGAGAAATGTTAAGGGGCTCAGGGTGAGGGTGAGCAACTGGGAGCAAAAGGAATGTTGGGGGAGGAAGATTATCAAATTTCATTGCCCTGTGCCCACATGAACTGGGGAATACTGGGAACCAGCTTTTTAATGCTTTGATTCCAGTGATGAAGTTAATACCATGGCCCAAAAAAATGAACTATTGATAACTTGGGTCACAAGTGAACAGGCAGTTAGTATTACCCTATTCCATATTAAAAACTTTTGGATGATTGGCAGTCTCTATTAAATAGAGACAGTAGTAGCAAGGTTATTGCAGCTCATGATTGAGGTGTATTGATAATTGATAATTGAGGTGTATTGATTGGTACAATCAAAATTGTACCAGTTTCCCCAACAGTATTTTTCTGTACTGTCTGGCCCATGCCATTGCTGTTAGTGCCATACTCTACAATAGAGTGCTTTTCAAAAAATATTTAGAATATACAGAACATCCTTAGAGATGTTTAAATCTATCTATTTCCCAATTGTGTGAAACTAATACAAGCAGTCTTATGTTCCATCCAGTGGAAACTGGGGATCGAAGTGGTGCTGTGCCTTCCTGTGCTCTCCAGTGCAGAGGGACACAAACATGCACACGTAGCAGCCATATGTGACTGTGGAAAGCGGCTACACATAATCATTCTTTACCTGACACCAAGCTAGCTGCATCATATTAGCACAAACAACTCCATAGGCATTTTCAGGGGGTACAGACAACTGGAGGTGATCGAATCAGAGAAGAGCTACAGTAGGCAATGTGTAGCTTCTGACAGAAAACAGAGGAAATTGCTAATGTTACTCAGAGCATTAAGAGCTTTTCTGCTTTAAAGATGAAGGTATCATATAGCTGCAGAGTAAGGAAACAATGGCAGCATGACCCCTGGACAAAAGGTTGTTGACCGGTAAATACGAACATGGAGGGGTAGTCATTTCACAAGGAAGTCCTGAGATCATTCAGAGCTGGGATTGATATTCCATGCATGTCCAGTGGTTCTATGCAATTATAAATAAGCTGTGTCCCATCTATACTGCTGCTGATCCCAGTTCCCAATCGGATGATGGATTGATCTGTTTGTCTTTTTAAACAACTAGTTTTATATTCTGTTCTGTGTCTTTTTTCACCACAAGAGCAACTGATTAAACCTAAATCTTTAGCAGTCACACGCTTCATTTCATTCAGCCCTCAGATTTCCAGAGCATCCTTGTTTTCTCTATAAATAATACAGGATTGTGTTAAATTTTAGGAATTGTAGCCACAAGCCAAAACTACCAATCAATTTCTGTGGTGCTGAATCTGTTTAGAACTCCCTCTTTGGAAAACATAGTGACTGTACAGCTTCAAGTTTCTCTCATCTTAATGGAATTTTCAGACTGTCTACATATCAAGACTACCCTGATTAATGCAGTTGGCAATCTCCTCCTGGCACTGAATAAAAAAATTGTTCCTGATGACACTCAGATCTTTTAGCAGTCTTTCATGCTATTAACTTTCAGGTGCTGGTGATAAAGCTGTGGTCCCTAAGAAAGGATCTGGATGCCCCTTGATGACTGTACCCATTCCTAGAAGGGAGGAATTAGAGGGTGGTTATGGACACTGTCCTGTATTCAGAATGCCCAGAATTTTTTCCCATTGTTTCTTTCTGTCCCTTTTGCTGCTCTGTGTATATAGAGCCCTCTCAGGGGAGATAATCTGATGATATGGATTGTGGTGTCGATGCTATGACCCTTACTGTGTCTAGTAGCCTCATTGTGGACAGTTGCTTGGTCACTGGAGTAATTAGCTGAAATTTTTACTTGGAGAGAGTGACAGCTAGCTGTGACATACAAGGTTAAGGGTGGTTGTTTGTGGGTAGGGGAAAGTTTTGAGGAGCATGTTGCCATTTTGGGTTCCCGTTATTCATGTGTATAGTATATGCACTGGTGAGAAACATATGGAACTTGGGTCGACCCTGACTTGCTTTCTCAGGATGGAGGCCTGTATGTCAGTGGCCTTGAGTGGCCATTGCTATCGACAGCTGTAGATTATTCAGAAAATTCAGTTATTGTAGAACTGACCACAGTCCTCCGTGCTTTGATCATGTCCATGCTAGACTGCTGTAATAACCTTCAAATAGGGC